CCCCCCCCCCCCCTCTTACCTCTTCTGTTGTATTTTTTTTAGTTGTATGTTAGTTCATGTTTTCAATTATGTAGTAATTTTAGTAGATTTTTGTTATTTTTCTTCTTTTTTGCCTTTGAATTTCGTTTGTTTACTTACTTGTGAAGGGGCTATGTGTATAATCTGGTGGAGAGGTGGATGTTTGTGGGTGTTGAACTAATTGTTGTGGGGTGTAATGGTTTAGTATAACTTGTGATTTGGGGGAAATATTGAAGTATCTATATGGGCTATATGTGTGAGGAATTGTCTTGCCCACAAGGTGTTCGTGGAATTGCCCAAATGAAGTTATAAGGGCAAATGTGACTATGGTTGTGGTGAAGTCTGAGTAACCACCCATAGTTCACACATTTCACACCCTAACTGATAAGTGTTACTCTGTTAGACAGGTAAAATGCATCCATCTAGGAAGAGACGCAACACAGGATCCTCTGCTAGTGGACCGGGCAGCTCCTCAAGAGCTAGGGGTCAAGCTAGTGCGGCTCAGTTTGACCGCACTAGGTTTGTCTCCAAACCGGTGGAGGACAGGTACAATGCAAAGGCGGCTAAGAAATTATTACATGAGGTGCATATTGACCGAGCAGCCTTAGAGGTGGAATTCCCAAATATCATCAATGAGTTGAGGAGGTGTCAGTTGGACATCTTCTTTGAGGAACTGGAGGAGGCCAATGTTCAAATTGTAAGGGAATTCTATGCCAACTGTCCGGAACATGAGAATGGGGTTGTTACTGTACGCGATACCCGGGTAAATGCATCCATCTAGGCCATCCGCAGGGTGTACAGGCTGCCAGTGTTCAGGGAGGGAAGCTGATTATTATCGTACTTATAGCCGATCAAGTGCCTTGTGGGAAACTCTTCTTGAGACTATCTGTGTTCCAGACCGAGAATACATATAGATAAGCACCGGATCACACTTAACTCCCAGTCTCTCAATTGGGAGGCTAAGAGTTGGCTAACAATTATCAACAGCCGGCCGTTGCCCTCCAGCAATACAACCGATGTCAATCAACCATGAGCGGCAGCGATCTACTGTTTCATGGCCTACAGGGATTTTGATGTGGCCCAACTCATTCATGAGGAGATGTTCATTCGCTCACCTAAGATACTTAAAGGTTTATACTTCCCCTATCTGGTTATTAAACTGTGTCGTGCTGCTAGAGTCCCTGAAAAACTTAGAGTTGATGGGAAATTGCCACTGAAAGACCCGTTCCTGGCAAGAAAAATCAGAACTGGGATAGAGCTGGTGGTGAATGTTGATAAATCGGATGATGAATCTGATGATGATGATGCTAAGGCAGCTGAGGTCCCACCACCCACGAGAGTTGAAGAGGAAGGCGCATCACAGCCCCACCGAAGTACCCGCCTGACAGCCCTGGAGCAGGAAATGGCTGGTCTCCGCACTTCTGTCACAGACTTGGGCACCAGAGTTGACAATCTGACCACTCAACAGGCAAAGTCGGAGAAGAAGATTATGGGATGACTTCGAGTGCTAGGACGAGCATGTCACCTCGATCCTGGGACCGTCTCTGATCAGGATTGATCTTCAGGGAAGTCCCCCTTCCTTACGCTGCTCTTTATTTGTTGACATGGGGACATGCCATATTTGTAAGTGTGGGGTGGGGGATGGCTGTTGTGTACGATGTTGTAATAGATTGTCTAACTTTGTATGATGTTGCTTTATTTTTGTTTGATTGGTATGGTAGGGTCATGTAATTAACTTCGACTTGGCCCAAAGACGGACACCTTTCGACAGGTCTCTTGACGGACATGAGTCGAAAAATTAAAAAAAAAACAGAATATAAGGACTCTTCCTGATGACGGATAATTGAGACAGTTTTTGAGGGAAGTTAGTCTAGAGAAAATACCAAATAGATTTTTTTTTTATTTTTTATTTTTAGGTAGTGTAGTAACTCCCCCTTGGTTTTTCTTTGGGCTACGGTTCTTTTCCAAGGGTTTAGCTTTAACCGGGTGTAGATAGTATTTTGTTTATTTTGTTTTTACTTTTAGTTAGCATTTATGGGCTACGAGCTGAAATAGAAAGAGAATCCCTTGGTGTTAATACATCTGAACACAATCGACACTAGAGTGTAACGCCAAGTCTCAATGGTTGACTCTTGCTAAAGTGCCTTAAAGTTATATGTTTGTAGCTGACTTGAACACTCAAAAGAGAATGTCTTGATAAATCAATCCGGAGTGAGTCATATACCATGTGTGTGTGAGCTATACTATATTCTATGCTTTACATTTGATGCCTAGAACTTGCCCTGTGTGTTTGCAAAGCGAAATAGTAGCTTTATCAGTCTTAGAAGTGATGTAGGCATTTTTTTGTTAAGCCAAATATATAATGTAAACCCACCTGAATGTAATACATCATAGTTAACCCCGTTGAGCCTATAAGCCTGTTTCTTTGGCAACCACATTGCGAACCTTACCCAAATGTTTGAATAGCCTTCTGTTGAACCCTTTTACCTCCCATGAGCACTTGAATGACCTTGACATATGAAAAAGTTAAAGTGTGGGGTGGTGGTTTGGTTTTGAGTGGAGCCAATGAAATAGAGGAAAGGTGCAGTTTTGAAGAATAAAAGAAAAAGCGCCACGAAAAAAATATTGTGAATAAATGTAGTAGCTGATAAGTGGTAGCTTGATCCAAATGCACCTAAAGGAATGCGATGGTATAAATAAATTGTGGGGAATGTCTGGTTGACATAAGAATGATATGGAATGTTAATGTGTTTTGTATTAAAAGTGCTTAGGGAGGTTTGTCACTATATCCAAATATATCCTACCCATCCCTTAGCCTATATTACAACCAAATGAAGTCCTAATTGATCTTAGACTGGATAGGCTCGATTAGTAGAGTATTACACTACGGTCAAGCCTATGGTGCATCTTTGTGGCATGTGAATGTTCTTTTGGAGAGTGAGCAAATTTTGTCCATCTGAGTTCCTAATTGTTTTTAATATATTAAGTGTGGAACTACTCTCTTGTGTGATGTGAGGGCCTGTGATTCACAAAGGAAAGGTAAGTCTTGACTTTTGTATAGAGTAGTTTGAGTAAGTGCGAATATTGCATGGTACGAGAGATTCGACTTCTGAGGCAAAGATTGTTCACTACTAGGTGCAACTTTGGTAAACTGTTCAAGGTGTGCTTCGTTAAGGGAAAAGCTTAGGGAAGGAACTTTGATAGAGTGTGGTGGATTGCTAGAGGACTAGCAATGATTTAAGTGTGGGGTGTTGATATTAGGCTATATAGATGATATTTACATCTTAATATTACCATGCTTTATTGTTGTTTTATAGGCAAATTGATAAGAAAATGCTCTAATTGGTGTTCTTTTGCTTTGCAGGGAATAATCTAAGTGAGGAAGCACTACGGAGTGTTTTAGAGTCAATAATGTGAAGAAAATGCCCAATCAATAAGCAGTCGAGCATAAAGAAGCAAAAATGGACGGAGGTGAAATCCACTGCGACCGCGGTGGAACCGCGGTTGAACCACGACAGACAATTACGCGAGGCAGAATGTTCCACCTTCACCGCGGTCGCATCGCGGTCTTGCCGCGGCCGCGGTGAACTGTTCAATTGCCAGAAAATTGGGGACTAAAGTGTAATGCAGGGAAAACTTGTTCCAAACCCTTATAAACTTTAGAAGCTCGGCCAAGACATAATTAAGCTTGTTTTTAGACTACTTTGGAGGCAAGAACAAGTATGAGAAGATCAACCAAACATTAGAGTTTTTCTATCTCCTTTTAATTCTTGCAATTATACATTATTTACAACTTTGTAGTTTTATCTTATTTTGTAATGAGTAGCTAAACAATTATCTAGGTTTGATGGAACCAATTGTTGGTTGAAATTTTAACTCAACTTGTTATAATCGAGCCGGATTTAGTATATGATTGTTCAACTACGTTTTGTATGGTGATTAATTGAATGGGCCTTTGATTAATCATGTCTAATTACCTCATATTGCTTGAGAAAGAATATTAGGTTAGACTGCTGTTGAACAACACCACTTTTGGGTAATTAAAGAGATTCATTACTTGAACTTAAAAGTGGGTTTAGAGATAACGAAACTTTGGTGGGATAAATTAGAGCTGCACATATTGTCAGCTAGAGTAGTTCGAGAGAATGCTCTAGTAAATTATCATAGTTGATCGAGAGATAATTACGATAACCCCTAGCTCTTAATCCTCAGAGAGTAGTACGGCGAGATTATAACAAAAGAGTTAAGATCTAAACTAGCAATTGGGGAAATCACTGCCCTAGACCTTTTTGCCATTGAATTATATTTAATCTAGCATATTGTTATTTCTGATATTATTTGAGATAGTTAATCAAAAACCCAAGATTGATTGATAAAAATTTGCATCTAGAAATCGGTTGAGTTGATAATAGTATTGCCAAAGAGTTGTAATAGATAGGTTAGTTCCCTGAGAA